CCAAGACAAAGAATTTTATTCCATGTTATCACTGAACACTGAAGGAGAAAATAATAACATTGGAGAAGAAACCTACACGGAAGAAGAAATTCTGTTGGTTGGTATGCAGTCTCCCTGTTCTCCTTCCAATTATAAACCAAGTACATTTCTTGGGACATCTGCCACTTATGCCAAAAATAAAAATTTTGAAGAAAATGATGAACACTGCAGAGGTAATTCTTTAAGAAGCAAGCCCAATGGGGGCTCATTAAGAATAAGCAATACAATGGAGCCAGTGACAAAGCAGTTTTCTGTCGGGCAAAGGATGCTCCAAGACTGGCCTGATGGGCAGTCTGCTGAAGAAAACAATCGTAGAAACAGTGGAAATGAGAAAAACACCTTTGATTCATGCCACACCAAATCCAATTCCAACCCAGACAATGATCTCAATGATGAAAATGTTTCTGGTGATTGCATTTCTGTGCATGATGGGCCTGGTATCTGTGACTACGAAAGAGATTGCCAAGACTATTTAAGTGATTCCAGAAATTCTCCAAACTATTTAATTTCTGATAGACCAACAGCTCCAAGATCCTCAATGAATTCCTCTTATAATGCTCTTGGATCATTAATGCATATTGCTCTGAGTGATCATGTTCCAACAGACTTGTCAGCGTCATCTACTTTGGGTCATCCTTTAGATCCAAGGTTCGGTGTTTGCCAGCAACTGCCTCCTATTAGAAGTAGGAGTCCATCTGCCAATACTGAAAACCACAATTATTTTCCAGGAAACAGTGCACGTGAATTTGGTGTCAGGAGAGCAGAGGGCATTACTCTGCCAAGCCAACCTCAGGGAGCTCCATTATATGCAGATCTCTTACTAAATCCTCAAGGCAGCGGGTCCCCAGTGGATTCTCCTCCTTCATCTCTACCCAGAGGGAACTTACAAGGTCACTGGCATGTGCTTGGGTCCCTGCGAGAAAATGTACCTTTCACTTTCTTGGTAATATCTGAATTTCCAAATCAAAATGATAATACGGACTGCACATCTGTCTCTGGTTTCACAAATGGAAAGGGGGCCCCTGAGAAAAAGGCAGACCCTGAGAAACTCAAAAGATTGCAAGAAAGGTGAGGAATTTTCATGCTTATATATGTGATATAAATAAGCATTGCTTTCAGTAGAGAGTCACGGGGATTTTGAATCATAGATAGGCTCTTCCTTGACATTTTAATGATTGCTTATTTTGTCCCTATTCTGTTGCTCTTAAAATATGTGTATAAAGTTTGCTGTTCCTATTCAATTCTTTCTGTATTCCTAAAGTGTTTTTTTCCTTGAACCCCAAAACTTTAAGACGGGAAAGTCTGCTAGGTATAAGGGTTTCTGACAGCTACATGAGGTTAACTCTTCTCCCCAGCAATTAGGAACCAGGATTTTTTATGAAAAGGTTGCTATCTCCCCCAGAGAATGAGCCATTTCAGCGCTTGAAGTTCACAGCTCTCCCTCATGGGACTTATCGCAAATCTAACTAGCAGTTCTAGAATTTGAACCTTCCAAATTAAAAGATTGGATCCAAACAGTTACCATAGTTACTTCAGTTCTCTGAAGGCTTGTGCCAGGGTACCCACTGCCTCCATTTTATGTGCTCTTTCTCATGCATGAGACAAAAAAAAAACAAGATCCTTTTTAAATTGCCCTTTTATTTGATCTTTCCTTTCTCATGAGGTGATTTTTGGGATATTTCACAGCTATAAAATTGGATAACTGTTTTAAAGCCATCCTTAAGCACTGTGTCAGAATTCTACCATTTCACGTATGATAGGTGTTTACTAATCTTGGCTTACTGATCTGGAATGGGAGCCCTCTTTGTACATAAGTTAGGATAGCTCATTTGGGCCATTAATTATCCTATTGGTGTTCACTTGTAAGCAGGAAAATTCCATGACAATGAATTAAAAGTGAAAAAAAAAGGAGTGAAGAATGAAACAAAGATGTATATATACCCCTCCGTGTCTTTTATCCAACTCCAGAAATGAAGACTTTTCTCTGGTTTCCAGGGCCTGTTCTTTTCCACAGTCAGAAAGCTATCAGAAGAGACCCATGGTTAAGAGGCCTCACACCCACTCGTCCTCACTGACAACCTCAAAAGACAGGGCCAGGGATTTAGCTCAGCACTTTGGTGGCCTGCCTTGCAAGCTCAAGGACCCAAGTTCAATCCCCGGTACCAAAAAAAAAAAAAAAAAAAAAAAAAAAAAAAAAAAAGATGGCTTCAGACATACTTGTCAGAAGTCTTTACTCCTATCACCCCAAAGTGAGGCCTTTGGGCTCAAAATAATTTCTTTTAAATTGCATGCACTTTAAGGCATGCTAACGCATTAAATAACTATTATTTACGGAGGACTTAGTTTATCAGATGCTCTCTTTCTGTGTATAATAAACTATATATTTTTCTCATTATTTCAAAAGTCTCTATTTTAGGAAATATTTTTAAATGACATAAAAGAAAAATACCTACACTGTTGAAAGCATTTTCAATCTGTGTGTGTGTGTGTGTGTGTGTGTGTGGTACTAGGGATTGAAGCCAGGGCCTTCACACTGAACTATATTCCCAGCCCCTTTTAAAATTTGAGCCAAGATCTCACTAAGTTGCTAAGTTGCCTAGACTGGGCTTGAACTTTTGATCCTCTTGTCTCAGCCTCCCAAAGTGCTGGGATTACAAATGTGCACCACCATGCCCAACTTTGAGTCTTCTATCTTTGCACATTAAGTGCAACTTTAGTAAACATTGGTTCATATTGTTTTGTAAAATGACATTTCTATTTCAAGACCCATTTGTCAATGTCACTTGTGCTTTTTAAAGAATATTTCCCTGTTAACTTTAATATATACAAATAAGTGTATATGTACACATACATGTTTGTATATGTATACATGTATATTTTTAAAGAATTTTTAAAAACACACACCAAAAAAGCAGATATCCTCATGTCCCCCTCAGCTAGCATAACAGTCTTCACATTCTAGAGCCCTCCCAAGCCCTCACCTACCCAACTTCTTTGTCTCCCATCGCCTCCCCCACTCCACCATGACCATATTCCTTCATTGCACTTACCATTCCTTTGCTCTTAGTTTCATTGTGTTTGGGAGGTTTTCTACTATATGTAATCTGCTGTGTATATTTTTGAACTCTATAGAAATGTTAATATTATGTTCGGACTCTGTAGAAATGGAAGCTCTATTCTGTGATTTGAATTTTCCCCTTCATTAGTGATCTGCATGGTTGGTATTTTGGCTTTAGTTTTTTCATTTACCACATGCGAATATATTTAGTCATCCTGTCGGACTTTTGGATTGTTCACTGTTTTCTACAAATAGAGCACTGCAAGAGCACTCTTGTAAATTCAAAGACATTTCATATGGAAAGAGCTCTCTGGGACATTTGGCTAAGAGTGAATTGCTGGGCAGGAAGGTTGCACACCTTCCACTATACTAAATAACGACAACCTGTTATCCCACCAGAATATCAAATGTGTACATCCTTGACAGTATTTATGCTGACTGGCCTTCCAATTTGCTGGGCTTATGGGAATAGAATGATGTTCTAGCTTTAATTTGCATTTTCATAACTGATAATGACGTTAGGCACTTTATATGCTTTCTTGTGTTTCCCATTCTGTGAAATACTTATTTATGTTTTTTTGTTTATCTCTCTTTTATTTTAGGAGTCCTTTATATGTTCAAGCTACTAATCTAATCCTTTGAAAGTTAGTATTAGAAATATGTCCCAATTGGCAGTTTGTCTATGATTTGATAAAAACAAATTCATTTACATATAATCAAATATGTTCATCTTCCTTATGGATTCTAATTAGATATCTCATTTTTATTAAGAAATACATCGTTAGCGGGGCATGGTGGGGCATGCCTGTAATCCCAGCACTTGGGAGGCTGAGGCAGGAGGATCGCTGTGAGTTCGAGACCAGCCTGGGCTACACAGTGAGTTCCAGGTCAGTCTCAACTACATAGTGAGACCCTGTCTCAAAAAAAAAAAAAAGAAAGAAAGAAAAAAATCCTTAACCTGAGCTCATTATGATATTCTATTTTCTTTTAAAATTTCTAGTTTTACTTTGCACGTTTAAGATTTAAATGAAATGAGTTTGAGACCAACCTGGGCAATTTAGCAAAGCCCTGACTCAAAATAAGATACAGCCCAGTGGTAGGGTATGCAAGAGGCTGTGGGAAAACAGTGAAAGATGAAATGAAATACGTTTTGTATTTGTGTGAAATTATTTTTAATATGTGATGTAATGTAAGCTTTAATTTTTTTTACCCTTATAAACACACAATTGTCCCAGGATTTTCCCTGCTGATCTGCACAGCCACCTCTGTCGTGCCTGACACATCTCTTGCAGAGCTCTCCATTCTGTTCCATTGGTCTTTTGTATCTTTCTATATCATCTTAATGTGTGCTTCAGTAAGTAATGAGGCAAAGCCTTCCTCCCTTCCGTGTTTATCTTTAAAGAGTTCCTGACTTTATACTTTAAAGTTTGTTATTGGAATTACATTGAATCCATAGGTTATTCTTGGAAAATTATCAATTTTGAAATATCAATTATTTCTCTGGTAATTGTGTCATCTTTAATGCCTTTCAATGTGGTTTTGTGATTTTCTTCTAAAAGCCCTTTAATTTATCTTAGATTCTCTTTACTATTTACTATTCAAACAATATTTAAATTCTACTTTTAACTCTCTGACACTGATGTATACAAATGTAATTGACTGTTTTCTCTGTATTTTTGCTAAACTTTCTTATTAATTATAGCATTTGGCCTATAGATTAGTATTTAGATGTTCTATGCAGCAAATAATTTCAGTTGTGAATATTTTAGTTTCTTTCCTTCCAAATTTTTTCCCATTCCCCTGTCCTCCCTTTACCCCCTGCACCTTCCAGCTTGTATATATATATATATATGTCTGTGTTTTACAGATATATAATTTACAGGTATAACTTAGATGACATAGTATATAACTTATATAACAAACATCTAAATACCGTTGATTTTGTATTGAATGTGTTTGCTGTTATTTGAGCCATCTCTTTTCTGAGCATATCCATAATTAACTACTTAAAATAACTTCCTAAATGTGCAACCTCTAACGAGAGGGAATAAACATTCTTAAGGTTTTCAATGTCTATTATCAATTTACTCTTCAAGAAAGTTCTACACATTTACAGTTTCACCACCGTAGTGGTTTTTTTTTAACAACCTTGCCAATCCCAAGGATTTCATGTTCGTCAAACGATTAGCTGAAGATTGTGGTGTGTTCATTATGCAAACTGTACGATTAGTGACGTTGAACTTTTTCTATGTTTACTGTTACTGTTTATTTCTTCATTCGTCATTACCTGATCATGTTCTCTATCCACTTTTTTTGTTCTGATATTAGTGTTGTTTTTATCTACTAGACTATATAAACACTTTTAAACAAAATCATTAGTAATCCTCTGCCAAATAATGGGCAGATTTTTTTCTTTTTCCTGCTTTATGTGAATGTTTCTGATATGTAACATTTTTTACTTGTAATCAAATCTGGCAATATATTCCCTATGGCTTGTGCATTTGATGCTATGTTTAGAGAACACAATGATCACTCAATTGTTCATAATTATTTTCTTCAGTATTTTTATACTCTCATTTTATACATCTTAGAAGTTCATGGGCTTTGTTTTCTTATGGCTTGATTCTTGATTCTATCAACTATAACTATGATTTTGGTCAAGTTCTTTCATTTCTAGAGATCTGTCCAGAAAGATATAGATATATAGATACAGATTCATTCATTCCTATAGTCACATATTCATTCATATATATATATATATATATTCATTTATTCTTCAAAGCAGTGAAAATTAAATCGTTTTAAATATTTACATTATAGGGTACCTACCACACAGTAAGCACCTAATACAGAGCAGCTCTACTGCATTTATATGGGATATATTTGAGTGTACGATATGAGGTAAGGCTCTGATGTCTTTTAGCCTGGGGACCCACAAGCATTGTATCCTTCCTTCCTAGTCTGAAATGCCTTCCTTGGCGTGCGTTATCCCTCTAGGTCTGTCTGTGGACTTTCTAGCCCATTAATTTGCCTGAAATGCTGCATCAGCTATCCACTTTTATATCTTACATAAGTCTCCCTTTATTATCCTTCATTTAAAAATTTTTATTTCCCATCTTAATTGCATTACATTGTGACCTCAGAAAATGTGATCTTATATATTTTTTGTGCCCCAATACATATTCAATATTTACAAATGTGCAACAGCATTAGAAAACATACATAGCTAATGAGTTAGAGACTAAAAGGTTTATATGTATATATTAGCTATAAAAACATATTAAAATACTTCATACTTTATTTTATTTATTTATTTATTGTTTGCTTTGGTTTTGGTTATTTGAGACAGGGTCTCACTATGTAGTTGAGATTGACATGGAACTCACTATGTAGCCCAGACTGGTCTCGAACTCACAGCGATCCTCCTGGCTCAGCCTCCCGAGTGCTGGGATTACAGGTGTGCACCACCACGCCCGGCCATATTTTATTCTTTTCTATTGAATTTATCCATTTTTGGAAGGTATTTATTAAAACTTCCCACTATGATTTGGATTCACCCATTCTTTGTATTTATAAGACTTTTCCTTGTATTTAGCTCATTAAATGTAATGACTCATATATTCTTGGTAGAATGAGAAATATTATACTTTTAGCTCTGAATTATATTTTACCCCTGAGATTTTTAAAATGTGTTAATCATACCTTTTCGACTCCCCAGAAATCCTTCTTACCTATGGTTGCTCCCTTTACATAGCAGTGGGCAACAATCTCTGTAATCTTCCAGAGAGTTAACTCCTCTGCCACCTGAACTGCGCATTTCTGCTAGGGTTGACAGACTCTGTTTTCTTTTTGCGGACAGGCAATCCCAGCTGTTTCATAAAGGAAGTAATGTGTGGTTTAGTAAAAAGAGGCAGCCAACATGGTCACCACCAACAGCTATGTGCCTTGCTGTCTCTGTGATCCTCTTTCCTAAATGGGAGCTTTTTGTAAATACATCATATTCACAAGCTTTGTTTTTGTTTGATACCAGAGATCAAACTCAGGACCCTGCACTTGCGAGTGTACATTTATATTTAAACTTTGGGCCTTATGAAGAGTTTCCTTTCTTTAGTGCTAGAATTCCAGGGTGCTGGCCTGGGAAAGGGATTAGGACCACAGCTGCTCAGTGTACTTGTAACTTAGTTCCAAGATTCTGAAGCAGGTCTTGAACTAGTAGTTACCTTCTTTCCTTTTTTTTTGTACCCAAAATTGAACTCAGGGCCTTGCGCTTGCTAGGCACACACTTCACCGCAGAGCCACATCCCCGCCCGGTAGTACCCTCTAATTCCTGCAACCCATGTGTTGGTGCTTACCTCATCCTCCAGCTGGGAATCCCTCTCAGTCTGCTTTTCCCTTCCCAATAGTTTGCTCCCGTGGTCCCGTGTTTGCTGGGTTGTAGTTTCCTCTCCTCTGGTCAGTGTCATCATTATTTCTGGTCTGTTTTCTGTCTGGGGTTTTCTGAGACATAGGGACATGGATGGGGTCCTTTACCTGCTATCTTGATCTAATCCCAAGAGCAAGCTCGCCTCTAAAAACAGGAAGTGCACAGAAGTAAGGTGGTACTCCAGACTGCTAGTGTGCAGCTACTTAGGGGTAATGACTTTATGTTTCATTTTTCCTTTGCTTCTGTACTTTTCTGTTTCTTCTTTATCTTTACTTTTAAAAACGGGCTTTTTTCTCCCAAATACGATAACCTGCAGATTACCACTAATACCTATGAGAAGATGCAATTATGAGTCAGGCATATATAAACTATAAACAATTTATGGTAGAGCCCTGATCCTACTGCTTAGATCGGTGGTCTTCAGACCTGGCCCTGAAGTACTGAACCGGAATCTCCAAGACTAGAGCCCAGCAGTCTGTCTTGAAAGTGCCTACAGGTGAACCTGATGGTCTTTATTTTCATTTAAAAACCACTGATTTAGATCACTTGTTTCCCAAGGCTGTGTTGTACTTCCCTGAAGTTCTTCTGCTATTTTTCTGGCTATCTTCTTAAATTTATTAGGTTTCCCTATAGCTTATCTTCATCATTTGAGGTGCTTACTCCATAGTATACTTCTTATTCTAGATGATCTATGAAAACACGGGAAATTGTACTGTAATAAAATTAATATCTCAATACTAAAGATATTTGTAATTACCCAGGCCGTCCATTCAGGAAAATTACAATTTTGCTTCTCTTCATTGTTTCCCTCTGTTGGGGAAGATGTCCCCAGAAACAGCATACATTTCTATATCCAGAGCATTGCCCATTTCCTTTCCTCTTCTTTGACTTTAGTCCCCGGCCAGTTTCCTTTCCTCGACCAGACTGCCCCCAGTTCTGCGAGGAGTCCAAAGAAAAAAAAAAGGAAGACGCCGTAAGCCTCTTAAAACCTCACCATGAACGTCAGCCAGCTATGGTTCACTCAGCGTGCACAGCACTCAGCTTCTTTACTCACCACTTACGTTTTTGCTCCCATTTTCATTAATTCTGCCTTCATCACATTCCAGTAGCTCACTTTCTGGCACGTGGACCTCAGTTGTTGGCAAGGGTTGTGTTACTGGGGAGCTCACATTCAGGTTTGTTGGTGCATTTATCCAACACCCGTGGAGGGGTCCGTGTTTTGTCAGACACCAGGTGCCCTTTGCAGTCTGCACAACAGGTGTGCCATCATCCTGCACCCACGCTGCCCGCAACCCTGTAGAGTACGGTATTGATGTCACCGTGAGCCTCGCCTCATCTTATACAAAGAGGAAGTAGGGTCTTGGGAAGACTGAAGGAACTTGTTCAAGGTCACATGATTCAAAAGTTTGAGACAGGCAGACCTCCAACCCAAGAACCCTGACCACAGTCTGATGAGCTCACCAGTACTCCCTATCACCACCTCCTTGTGGCTGTGGCACGGGGCCTCTTGGCCTTTACCACAGGACTGTCCATCACTTCCGTTTTGCTTTTCTTCTTCTATTTTTTTTTTTTCCTCCAGTGCTGGACACTGAACTCAGAGCTCCCGAACGCTAGGCAAGAACTCTACCACTTGGCCACATCCCCAAACCCACCCCTGTCTTCACCACCCCCATCCCCAGGGCTTGAACCCAGGGCCTTCGCATTGATCCACACTCTCAGCCCTTTTTGAATTTAAGTTTGCATTTATTCATTCATTCATTTGAAGATAGTTTCACTAAAAGTCTCTGTGTTGCCCAGGGTGGGCTCAAACTTGAGATCCTCCCAGAGCGCTGAGAGCTGACATCTGGGCATCACTTCTCAGTTCTCCTAGTCAGCTCACACATATAACAACGCCAAGTACCTGAAATTGTGCATTGATTACCAATAGCTCTATCTGAACGAATTCTTACCAGGGTCAGAGAGAGGAGAGGGTGAGCTCCAAAAGCCCCAGCAATAAAAGCATGGAGGCATTGCTCCCTCTTCCCTCTCCCATAAATGGCCTGAAAAACAGTACATTTGCAGAAACTGCAAAGTGGAGACTCTTGGTCACGATGGCTTGTTTCCCATTTAGTCTCCTGGAGGAGGACTCAGAGGAGGAGGGAGACTTGTGTCGCATCTGTCAGATAGCTGGGGGTTCCCCAACCAACCCCCTCCTGGAGCCTTGCAGCTGTGTGGGAAGCCTGCGATTTGTTCACCAAAAGTGCCTGAAAAAGTGGCTGAAAGTGAAAATAACATCAGGTAGGTGGGCAAGGGAGAGTGACAAACGTGCAACGACATATAATTAATCTGAGACACTACAGTGTGGGCCTTGGAGCTTGTCAACTGCTCATTCTCAGGAAAACATGGCCAAACTCAGGATCCTTCCTCAGAAATGCTGCCTTCAAATTATGGGAAAGAAATGTATGTTTTTCAAGTCTGAGAGAAGAATCCTAGAAATATTTGCTACTGAAATATTTCCTATTCCTGCTTGAGTTCTGAGCAGAGATGCTAAGATTGCCTCGCAAGAGGAAACAGGAGGTTTGGTCAGTGCTGAACCCCATCAGGCATGTAGTAGCCATGTCCAGCCAGTAGGCGCTCAGGAACCGGTGCAGAAAGTGCATCATGAGACCCCCCAAACGCACACAATTCTACTTCGTTTTATTTGGGGGGAGGAGGATGGCTGTCACCTAGGAAACCAGGCACAGCTGCCTGTTTGCAGCAGGATAAGAATGTTGATCTGATTTTGTATACCTACATTAGATAAAGATATTTCCACGCGCTGATTTTGTCAGCTTGATCTTATAACCGGATGTGAAGGCCCTTCTCAACTCCCTCGGGAAGTTGTAGCCCAAATATAGCCACACTGGTAGATCAGCTGTAGTTTCCTTGGCAGAGAATAGGTTTCTTTAAAGCATGGCTTTAGAAACACAGAATTTTAATAAGAAAAATAAGGCATCAATGCAAGCAATTCAATTAGAAGCTATGTCTTTCAGGCATACCTCTGAAAATCTTACTCCATGACCAAATTCTGTTTCTCTTTGGCTGCGTTCTTCTCACTATCCCAGGCCATCTACGAGGTGTTGCCAAGCCCCTTTCACCAAGGACAGTGTACCATTTAATCAAGGAATGAACCGTTTAATCAGAGAATGAACACATGGTGCAATTATATTAACGGTCTCCTCCCCAAAGCTCTGTTTCCATGTGTACATTCTTCCCCAGCATGAGGAATGTAGGATTAATCCTGAGATATCTAAATGCGTAGCTTCATAGCAAGCAAATAACTCTGTCTGCAAAACAAAAAAGTAGATTTTGATTACCAATGATTCTGCCATACAATATTTTATCTTACTAGGAATGTGGTCCAATAAAACATCTAGCAAAGAAAAAAGAAAGGATCAGTGAAATGTGTCATGAAAATGAGGTTAGATGCAGATGCCAGTATGGATATGTTTGCCAGAGTTACGTTGGAAGACACACAGGATGTTGAGTAGACAAAAGCATTATTCAATGATGCTAAAAAAGAAAAATCAAGCAAACAAAATGCAGATAAGGGATTACTATTCATCCTTGTCTTTTAAAAGTCTCTGTTATTTACTATTTCTTTATGTCCCCAGTGGGGAAATAGAACTGCACAGGCCCTAATTACTAAGTAGATGAAGAGTCCTCTGTTTTCTAATGCATAAAATAAACACCATTGTACACCGTCAGTCAAAATGCAGCAACTACACTAGGAGAAAAAGGTAAAGCATGTGCCTTAGATATAATTGCCACAGTTCTGCTGCTTCTAGTCTTTCGCTGGAGAGTAGGGTAAGTGAAGAAAAAGTGCTGCTCTGAAATGCGTGTTTTTATAAAACATCAACCCAGGAAGCCTTCTCATGTGTCTCTTCCCAGGCTTAGGTGCTGGCCCTAGATATTACTGTAGCTTTTCTCAGGCAGGAATGTCACCTGGGTGGGAGTAAATGGAGATTTGTAAGCACTTGACTAAGGATAGCTTCTACCATCTAGTTAGTCCTCATGAATTTATTTACCTGGATCTATGTTAGGTCTCCAAGAAAGAAAAAAAATGGGCCCAGTATTTACTCTTCTTGTAAATGCCTGTGACTTTATAAAGACTCTTAACTTCCATGTAGCAATTCCAGTTTTATGAACCATTAGGTTTATATTTAAATAGAAACAAGACTTGTTATCTAAAAGTCATGGGAATTTCACTTATATGAAGCTTGCATAATAAATGATTACAAAGGAAATTTTTCAGATCTCAGATTCAAGGCCATTTTCTACAGACTTTTAAAATGAAGGTCACTGAAGCTCAGAATTCATAACACACTCAAATTCAGTCTCAGAATATCACCTATCCAAAGTGCCAATGCAAACAGACCTAGGGCTGTATGTACATAAAATTCTCTATGTGTAAGTGAGTGAGAGAGAGAGAGAGAGAGAGAGAGAGAGTGTGTGTGTGTGTTGAGAACTTAGCATCTATTCTTTTACATATAATTATTTGTTGAATTCAAGGAGCAGATCTAAATGCTGTGCAGACCTGTGAGATGTGTAAGCAAGTCCTGCTGGTCAACCTGGATGACTTTAACTTGACAGACTTCTACCAAAAACACCAGCAATCACGGGTGAGAAATACTCCCATTCTCCCTCCACAGACGAATGTAGGTTAGAGGTACCAGGCAGGAAGAAGCTCACTTTCCTTGACCTAAGGAATGTGGAAGGCCTGTGTGCGACATGAGTCTGAGAATATCCTTTAGCTTGCTTCTTTAAGAAGGCAGGCACTAAATTGGAACAGTGGTGATCTGGGAAGTCTTGGTTATCCTGGGCCAAGGATGACAAGCCATCTGTTGTCAGGGACAAAATTAAGAAGCTACAGAAGCCAATTGGACACGCAGAAATAGCAAGAAGTCTGAGAAAGTGCCATGCCCAAATTTGCTGAAGTAATTTCAATTTAATAGCAAAAAGAAAAATTCAAGATCTTGAAGGAAATAGCCCCAGTTGAAATATCAAATAACTCTAGGGTAAGAAAGAATTGCTTTACCTAAGGATAATAAGCATGAAGCAAACACTTATTGTGTGCTTTTTAACACCTAGTGAATCAAGGTATAGGATAAGTGGAGAAAACTCCACTGGGGCATTTGGATTGCCTTTCTATTTCTGTGAAAAAGTTAATTAATCTCATGTGGGAAAGTGATTTATGCCCAAGATGATAGCTAATCCCCAACCCTCAGGTGAACAGGGCTCCACTTAAAAGTTTCCTCTCCAGCACAGAAGCCACAAGCCACATGTGGCTAATGAGAAGGCAGGCAGTTCTAATCAACATGTGGTGTAAGGGCCGGGGATTTAGCTCAGTGGTTCTGCTGCCTGCCTTGCAACGGACCCGAGTTCGAACCCTGGTACAAAAAAAAAATGGTGTAAGTGCTAAACATACACCAATATTCGGTACCAAAAAAACTATAAAATGTCAACTAATTTAATGTTACATGCATGCTGTCGGTGGGAGCACTGCAATGTAGATCACTATGGTCAGGCAAGGAGAGGGCTGTTTTCTTCCCTGCCCATTCACCAGAGAAGCATCAAGCATGCTGTCCTGCAGACCTTAGCTGCTCCCCTGGCTTGGGTTACAGACCAGCCCCTTTTACCTCCCTCTGCACTCCCCTTACCTGCACCACTAGAAATAAATGTTTGGCCCTCTGCCTGGGGTCTTTTCCTACCATCAGGAGTTAGAGCCCTACCTGGCCCCACCTATACTTACATCTCTGTCTTTCTTAATCTCCCACCACTGGTTCTCTCCACTGTGAACCCTTCTGCCACATGGACCACCATAAGCTGTTTTGATCTATTTTTTCATATGATAAAAAATACCCAAAGCTGGGCATCTTTGAAAGAGATTTGGGGCCACAGGAGCAGTGATGGTCCATGTTGTGGCCCTTTTCCTAATGATGAGAACAAAAAAACAAAAAAAGAACAAGAAACCCCAGAGGTTTATTTAGTTCACTATTCTACTTCATAAATTCAAGAGCCCACATCATGGCCTTTGTTCTGGCAGAGTCTTGAGGTGGGGTATGGCATCACGTGGCAAGAGACAATGGAGTACAGGTGCATGTGTGTTCTGATCTCTTTCCCTCTTCTTATAAACCACCAGGAAGGAGTCAATCAATCATGATGACCTTATTTAATCCTAATCACTTCCCAAAAGCACTACCTCATACCAGTCAGATTGTCCCCCACTTTTCAGTATGTTTCATAATGAGAGTGTTAGTCAGCTTTCAAACACTATAATGAAACGCCCAAGGCAATTACCTTATTTAAACAAGGGATATTTGCCTCATAGAGATTCTGGTCTCCAAGAATTGACTCTCCAAGACTGAATGGTCCCATTACTTTGGGCCTCTGGTGAGCACTTTATGGTAAGAACATGCGGTGGAGAAAATTTCTCACCTCTTCATCCAGGACAGAGAAGGAGATTGGGCCCCCACAGTGCCCTTCAAGGGCCGGACCCCAATGACTCTAGTACCTCTCACTAGGCTCCACCTCCTAAAGCCTCCACCATCTCCCAGTCACACCACCCTGGAGACCAAACTGTGACACAGGGACCTTTGAGAGATACTTACCCGACTCATAACAATGCAAATTAAATTAAAAAACATGACCCCCTGGGGGAAACAAACCATAGCACACAACACACTTCAAAGGTTTAAAATGCTTTCCAGTTCAGCATGTAAGAAGCTTGTAAGTCTTCACTCCGTCCTACAGCAAGTAAAAAGCTGAACAAACTGAAAAGTCAATAGTTCTTAGATCAGTAAGAAGAGAGAGCTCACTGGGCAAACCCTGCCCGTAAAATTAGAGAGACAGGAAAATAAAAAGAATCATAATTTCTAGAGCAAAGATTCATGTACAGAAACCTCTGGGAACCAGTGCTGGGTACAGAAACTCACCTGTAATTAGTGAAATGCTAACGGCTCCGTGTGGACAAATCTGAAAGTCAAAAACTCCAGGGGAACCCAGTTATACGGGTGTCTCCATGCTCTTGTGAGTTTTATCTGCAGGAGCTCAACCATGTTCTTAGAGTGAATTTCAGAGAAAAATCCCTTCACACTTCTAACAGGGAAAAGAGAAAAGTAAGCACGTTGATATATGCCAGAGAACTGTTCTGCCTTCAGGAGAAAGGGTTTAACCAGAGTCTAACTAATCTGGGAGAAGAGAAATATCAACTCCAGCCCCTTGTAGCCATTTGGTAGGAGGACTGAAAAGCTTGCATGAAGTTCACAGTCCCAAGGCCCAGGCTAAGACACGGAGACCTAGGAATGCTGCCTTCTTCTCACCCCTTACCACGATGTTATAAAGGCCTATTGATAGCAGTTCTATTACATCATGCCCAGCTATCAAACAAAAAGTTACAAGGCAACCAAAGGTGAAAAGCACAATCCAAAGAGACAGAGCTCGCCATAGAACTAGGTTTAAAGGGCTGGGGATTTAGCTCAGTGGTGCCGCTGCCTGTCTCGCAAGTGCAAGGTCCCGAGTTCGATCTCTGATACCCCCTACCCCCACAAAAAAAACTAGGTTTAGATATGGCAGGGGTATTGGAACTACCAGGACAGGAATATAAAACAACTAAGACACTATATATACACTAAAACAGCAACTATACACTAAAAGCTCTAACAGATGAAGTAGACAGCACGACAAGGATAGGTAATATAAGCAGAGAAATGGAAATTCTAAGAAAAAGAGATGCTGTAGATCAAATGCACTGTAAAGGAAATGAAGAGTCTTTGATGATCTTATTAGTAGACTCTGCACAGATTAAGGAAAGTATCTCTGAGTTTAAAGAATGCTTGCTCAAACTGAAAAGCAAAGAGAAAAAAGGCTAAAGGAAAAAAATGCAGGAATCCAAGACTTGTGGAGCAATTATACAAAAGGTGTACATATTAGTCAGCTTCCCATCACTTTAACAAAATACCTGAGATAACTTATAAGTAGAAAAGCTATATGTTGTCTCATAGTTGTGGAGGTTCGAGTACAAGATAGGGCAGACCCATGGGTTTGGGTCTCTGGTAGGTCTGCCAGGGAGCAGCAGCAGGAAGTACATGGTACAGCAAACTGCTTGCCTCATGTTCAGGAAGCAAAAAGGAGAAAGCAGTGGGGTCCCCACAGTCCCCTTCAAGGCAACTCCTCCAAAGGCCTAAGGACCTACCTCCTAAGTTTCCACCGCTTCCCAGTAACACCTCCCTAGGGGCCACAATCTTAATATTTGGGTTTTTGAGGAACATTTAATATCCAAACTATAGCATTGTAATAAGTACATGGCAGAAATGCCAAAGGAGAGGAAGAAGCCAGGCACAGTGGCACATTCCTGTAATCCCAGCTACCGGAGAGGCTGAGGCAGAAAAATTGCAAGTTCAAAGCCCAGCCCAGGCAATTTAGCAAGACACTATCTCAAAATAAAACGTAAAAAAGTCTGGGAATGCAGCCCCCTAGCCTTGAAGCCATCTGGTGGGAAGACTGGTAGAACACCCTTGGGTTCAATGCCCAATACTGAAGAGGAGGAGGAGAGGAAGGAGGAGAAGGAAGAGATAGAAGAAATATTTGAAAGAATCATGGCTGAAAGTTTCCCCAAAATTAATGTGAGACACAAAACCAGAAACTTAGGAGGCTCAGAATACAGCAAGCAAGACATATGGTGGTGGGGGGGGGAGCTACACCATGACAGCGTATTAAAATGAAAAAAAATAAATGAAAAAAATCCTGAGAGAAGCTAGTGGGGAGGTGACACCTTCCCTGTGTCAAAGCAAAGATAAAAACGACATCCAACTTCTCGGAAACCATATGAGTGTGGAGTGAAATATTTAAAGTGCTGAAGAATTTAAAGAATTCTGTACCCTGAACAATTAGCCTTGACAATTGAAGGAGAGGCAGACTTTCTCAAAGACTTAATACAAAGGAAAAAAATGTAGAGCATCATATGAATAACTTTACACTGCAAACGTGTGCCTCATAAGAACCTTTCAGTTCATGATGGGCCAGACATACCTGGTGTGTGCCGGACAGTCTGTTGCAGGGTGGTCGCTGCCGGCAGCGTTCGTGTGAGTGCACTGTGACTGCACGTGACAACATATTTCTCAGGATGTATCCCCATCACTAACTGTAATTAAATGCCAGAATGATACTCTGCATGTATCAGACTGATAAAATATATTGTTGATATTAATTTCGCTGACTTATTTTTGCTTAATGTGGCTACTAGAATTTTTCACATTATTTTCTAATTATTTTTCAAATGTGGTTAGCTTTTCTGCCTCACATTGTATTGTACTGGATTGTTCTGATCTAGAAAGTGCCTAGCACATAATAAGCAATCAATAAATATTTGCCAAATGAAGGCAGCCCAACATCACCATTACAATTTTAAAATGTCCTTCCTTTTAAAATGGTTCAAAAGATGATTAATAGTCATGGCTGCAAAGCACATCATTTTAAAACTATAGAATCATTGTTAACAATCAAACTGTCACCCTTCAAAGGGGGGACTCCCCTCAGCTTTCAGATCATTAGCCTGCGTCTAGACTTTTTTCTGAAAACATTTTGACAGCTGAGTCAAAATGATATGTGTGGTCTGAGCAAT